AAAAGCGAAATAAAGAGCTTAAAAATAACATCAAAAATTCTGTAGTTATTTCTTGTAACGTGCAAACAACGATAAAAAATACAACATAGCTTTAAAAGAGTCAAATATTGCTTGAATAAAAAACTAAATCGTCTCAAATGCCAACATGTTATTTTCTTCATCTCGACTTCGTTCGAAACTGATATCTTGGGTATTAATGGTCAAAAAGATAAGTGTAACTTTAGACAGTTTCTTCAAAGAACTTAACTTCAAAATTCATTTGATTGTTTTGATACACTCTTTATTACTTAAAATACAATTGAAAAGGGGTGTGCTTGATTATCAATGCCATATTATATGAATTGTAACGTTTGTATCCAAGTCATTTTTATCAACTGGAATAAGTTTTCTTGGTATACTCGTACAATTTAAATACAAAGGCAATGTCATACAATTTTAATTTATATATTAACAACATCGGACTCTGTATTTCGAAAAGATAACAGCAACTTGGAGTCAATCGATTTTTTTAAAGGAATAAATCCACACAACCTGAAAATTCATTCAAAACTGAAAAATGAAAAAATTCAAAAAGTTGTGAACACAAAAACAAATAACAAAATTTGAATGACAAAAGTACACCAAAAATACTCAAACACTCCACTTCTATATTTGGTCCACTGCACCTTTGTTCACTGAAATATTTCATTAATTGCAGACATTTCGGAAAAAATGGTCGTTATATTTAACGGTCTGAAAGTCTTTTTGTTCGCACTCAAAACTTCCCATGTGTTATACTCAAATTATATTTTATAGTTGAATTTACTATAAATAACTATATTTATTCAACTAATTTGGAGGTTTGGGACTCTTTTACTCGTTTTTGGGTAATTCGTTATTTTTATTTAAGTTCGACACTTTTCCACAACAAATTCACATTTTTTAAAGTTCTTTAGGACGGAGTTGCCACATTTTTTTAAGCAGTACAAAAATACTATAATTTATGGTAAACAAACAATAGTTTATGTTACACAATGAATGTGGTATTTTAATTTGAGCGAATGGTGCGAAGAGGTGAAAATATATAGTGTGCATAGTTATTCACAAAACGAGGAGAGTTAAAGAAAAACTCAAAGGCACTGAGAAAAAATGATTATAAGATATGTCTAAACAAAAAGAACAAATTTGGACGAAGGGCAGAAGCTTTCGAATTTTACAAAGTAAAAATTCATTATAGTAAAACACATATAAACCACTTAAAAATCGGGATGGTGTCGATATCACTTTTAAATGGATCACCAAAACCTCTGTTTTTGATTTTACTTAAAGCATTTTTATGATGATCATAATCGTGCTGCCGAATTATAAGAGAGCGGCTTCCAAGTAGAATTCGGGAAGATTTGAAGTGGAATTATAGCGGTAACATTGTTATATTAATAACCGGATGTTTAGTATAAAAACGCTATAATTGATTTAAAAAAATAAACATGACACAAAGAATGTTTTTTCTTGCTCTTTTTTCCCGCATTTTAGCGAAAAGAATGTGCGAAAAGAAGAATGAAAATGCTCCGATAAAAGCAATCTAATTCCATTTTTACTTTGTCTTATTTTAAGTAACACTGGAAGTGCCGAATCAAAACCATTGCTGTTAAATTGTCGACCTAATTATAATGAACGCTCTTTCCCATAGAAAATAACAAGAGACGAGTTCAATCATTCTTTAGGTGGTTGAAAAAGATCAAAACTGGCAGTGTCCTTATATTCAAAACCACAAAAGAGCGTCGAAAAAACCACAGATTTTGACAAGTAAAAAACACGTGAACTCGAAAGTTGATGAAGCCTAAAGCAAGTGGTGCAAAGGATAATAACCCAGAACTCCAAAACACCCACCCAAGTAAGCAACATGACAACTCAAATTATCAATGTGAGGTCGAAGCCGTTCTTATCTCCCTTCTCTCGCGTCATTGTATAGTCGAAATATCAAAGCCAAACAAAAAAAGTTCGGTGACGTCGCAGTTTATCAAAGTCACTGAAATCGACTTTGACAACGGGGACACCATCAACGTTTCAGACTTAATTGAACTCAGGTGCTTCGAACGAAGAGATTTCGAAGTTCAGAAAAAAGTCGAAGTCAAAACGGCCACCCGTCGGATACAGAGTTATAAACGAATCGAGACTCTTCATCTTCTCATCGACTTGCTTCGAGAATTCGGGTACAGTTTTGAGTCGCGATTCGTTGAAGGCAAGAAAGGGGTTTTGAAGCTCGAAAACGTTACAAGTGTTTTCTATGGGCAAAAGAGGATTTTAGACTCGAAACAGATCCAAGAGAAAGGCCACAAACTAAACAACTATCTTTACAAGGAAACCACTGAAGTCGGCTTTTCCCTTAAAGTCGAAAAGAAGAATCCCTTCATCCTCTCGCTTCTTGGCTTTTAATGCCTACTGTGTATACTAATTCGCATTTATTTTTTGAATCGCGTTGGGGCTTTGTTTAGAGGACATTTTCTATTTTTATAATTAATTTATCTATTTTATTATTAGTGGTAATATCTTCAATTCTTTTTGCGATAATTTTTTTTTGGAATTTGTATAAAAACCCTATTCATATTTAGGGTTTTGTATTTTTGTCGCAACATATTTAAACAACAATTATAATAAAAATAACTATTCATTATAATATAAAGAACAACAAAATGATAAAACGCTTTCAATGCAAAACGCTCACAAACAGTTGTAGATATCTTTGCCATCTGCAGTTGTGAACTCCTTTCTGATCTTAGTAGTTTGTTCGATACTCAAAATGAGCGATTTGCCGTCGATGTCCTTCTTACCTGTCTCGTTCACGATGTCGATCATCGTTGGCTTGCTCTCGGGCACCTTCTTTATTAACTTCTTGTTCACCTGAGCCAATGCGATAACATGTGCGACTGCCATCACGCACGGGAAAGTGATACAGTTATATCCTTTCTTGTAAGACATCAAGTCTCTCCCTCGAATTTCAGTATTTCCAGTCTGTTGCATCAACATATTCAACGCAGTAGTTTCACTGAACATTGTCTCACCAAGCAACTTCTTGATTTCCAGTGCGATCATCGGGCATTTTGACGAGAAAGCGATCTCAAGCAAGTTCTTCGAGAATGTCAAAATGACTTTAGCGTGCTCAAGTGAAGCTTCTTTCGCAAAGAAACTGAGGTAGTTCCATTGCTTTCCTCCTTGTTTAGTCTTCATTCGCAGCAAGCCAGTAAACAATTTGTCAACGAACTCTTTTCTCTCTTTAACAGGCTTTTCGGGGTCTTCTTGTGAATCTGTCGGTTGTCCAGTGACTTGAAGAGCCACTGCTGGGTTCTGTGAAAACACTTCAAGTACTGTTGAGTGCAATTTTGTGATAGCGCTCAGGAACTTTGGAGAGATTTTGTCTTTCTGTGTCGAGACATTCGACATGACGCCGACAAGTAAGACCAACAACTTATTATCTTTTTTCTCAAGAAGTGTGCAGTGTTCGTGGACCGAGTAGATGTACCTCAAACAGTCGATGAGCAAACAAAAGACTTTTCCTGCCAGTGTGTCTTTCTTCTCTGTAATTTGTTTATTGTTGACCATCATCTTATTAATGCTCTCCATCATCTTTCCAAGTGTCGATGATGAGATCGAGACCGACTCCATCTTTTCAGAGTCCGAAGTGCAGTTCTCTCCCAGTTTATTATTTTCGTAACACATCTTAAGTAAAGTCTTCATCACATTCACTATTTCAAACAACAAAATTTCATTGTTGTTCACAAAGGAGTCATTAAAAACTTCAATACACACACTTTCGAAGAAATAGTCCCCAGTAAACCCTTTCCAGAACTTGTCGTTACTCTCCGTCTTCATACAATTTTTAATAGTAAATCGAATGACATCGCAAAGGATTTTGACTAAAGTGTCTGGCGTGTTGTTGTTCAAGAACATCTTCACAGACTTCACCCCATTGAGTGTCGTCAAATCAGTCAGTAATTTGCATCGACAATCCTTAGTTGTCATGATCTTCATAATAATCAGCTGTGCACAGTAATTCGAGAACTTGAAATCTCCTTTCACCACTTGTTGGAGTAATTCAATCAACTCAAACTTCCCCATCACGTCTCTAATGTACTTCACACTTTGCACATCGGCAAACCCTATCAATTGCATCCCACAGAACATACAGAGCGGCGCCAATTCAGCCTTCACCATTCCTTTTGGGATGAAATCAAAGACGGCTAAGACGTCCTTCTCCTTCTTCGTCAAGTCCATCACACCGTTCTTCACTAAGTCTTTCAGTGGTGCGACCGATGTTGAAAGGATGTTCAAGTAGTAATTCATGTGAATAGTCTCGATGACTTCTTTCACAACTTCTTTCGATGTGGAGCCTTCCACTAAAGCACTCAGTGCTTGAATGTTCGTCGTGTTATACTCAAAGACATCATATTCTCCTTTACCAACTACCTTCGCAGCAGCGTACATCGTCTCCAACTTATCATTCATACTCACATCTTTCGATCCAATGATAAAGTGTGTGATCAAGTTCTTTCCATGGAAGTTCAGAATCTCCTTTGCAAAGTACGACAGCTTCGCCAACGTGTCCGGGCATATCGTCTGCAGTGCAAACTTGAAGAACCAATTGACTGCGGGCGAGAAGACGCAGTCGAGCATAATTTGTTTAATAGTCCTTCCGTCCACAACAGCATCTAAAACGGCTTTAAAGTCGTTGACCGTCATTGGTGTGAACAACAATTTATATAACGCGTTGAACGGCTGTTTCTCCGTTTTAATGATGTTCTGTGCGTTCACTATATTCATGTCTCTTCTTGAGCTCTTCGATGGGTCATCATTACTTAAAGTCTTCTCTAAGATCGAAGTGAAGATCGCAGACGATTTGTTGATTCTAAAGGTCATCTCTGTCTTAGAATTCTTATCTTCCTTTTGGTCCACCATTAAAGACTCTAATGAAAGACCAACGCCATCGACACTTAACACATTCTGCGGCTCATACATCACACTCTCACTCATACTAAACACCTTCTCGATCTTTCCTTGAGCAAATGAAGACTTCAAGTCGTTCTCGTATTTGTTGCTCAACTCGAACTTCTTCCGCTGTGGCGCGCTGGAGCAGTTCTTGATGCAGAAACAGTCCGTCTTCTTCGAGAAGAGGAAGTCCTTATCAAACCCGTCAAAAGTGGCCGCCATGATCTCATTCAACTGCGCGACGTCAGACTTCTTCTCCGTCGACATTTTGATCATCAGCGCATTTTCAATTTCAGACGCATGAGGCGGGAGAAACCCGATGTTATTCACTTCTTTGATCCATTTTTGGACTGCACTCTTGTACGATTCGTATGAGTCATAGTTGGATGGGTTAGGTTCCGGGGTTAAGAGTAAAGTGTCCCACGGATCGTCTGGGAGTGCGTTTGTTGTATTTGATGGAAAGTATATTTCGGATCCCAAAAGATGAGGAAGCTTCATGTATGAGGTATAACTCTCGGCTTTTGTTTGCCATTCTATCCAAGCCGTTTCATACTCTTCATACGTTTTATAATTTTCTACTTCAGGGCGAGTTGGAAAAGAAACTATGTTGCGTGGTACATTTGTTGTGTTGGCCTCATAATTGATATCTTCTATTTGGCCAGTCCCACTTAAGACGTGCGGCTTATCTGTTATGGAACTTGGTGTAGACGGACTCACTTCGGGAACTGAAAACCCTTTGTATTCTCTTAAGGAAGGCGTCACATAGGTACGGATAATATCTGGCTCACCTGGTGTTTGAGTCGAAGACATCTTGGAATTAAGAATTGTAAGATCAGATTCTATTTATATAGAGTTGGTTTTGTTTTTTGGTGAAAATTAAAACTATTTCATTGGGCATAGAATAGTTATAATAATTACAATAGTAAACTATTTATTATAATAAACCATATTAAATAAAAATAATTTTTATTATAATATAATATAATATAATATAATATAATATAATATAATATAATATAATATAATATAATATAATATATGATATGATATATTTTTATAAAAAAATTAAAAAAACACACACAAAAAAAAATAGTTTGTCGCATTAAAAAATATTGCGATATTTGGTTACACCAATTTTATTTTTCCAAAAAAGAAGAATGTTCAAAAATAAAGTCGACTGAAGAGGAATTATTGTCATGTGAAAAAGTTTGAGGTAAACTGGGTTATTTATATAATGATACTTGTTTTTTTTAAAAGTAAAATCAGTTTCAGAAATTATTTATTTCGATAAAGTGTTGATGTTAAAAACATGCTGTTTGTTATATTTCGGTAAAAATACCAATGAAATTATTGATAATCAAAAATGATGTTTGGGTTAATTACAAAATAGAGATCAAATTGTTTACCAGGTGATATTTATAAAATGATGTGTTTGTCGAAATGGGATTTAAATTTTTTTATCGTTTCTTATGATCTAAAAAACGATTTTACAATGCAAATTTGCAAAACTCGTTCATAATAAGAAAAATAGCTAAAACCCTACTTGGATCAAAAAAGGGTTTTGCGAACTTTGAAGTCAATGAGTGCCCCCACGGGTTTTCTTCCAGCTGATCTTGCGAAGGTCGCCGCCCTTCACCCAGACGAGAAATTCACACTCCCTTACTATGAAAAAGAGTCTTATCCCAAATACACATTTGTGGTTATCGACACTCCAAAACCAACATCACTGACAGTTGCCATTTTTGTTGTTCCTCAAGGTAGTGAAAACGAGTACCACTACGCCTGCCCAGAAGGGAATCGAGATTTGTCAGAAGCCATTTCGGCAGAGCGTCTTCTTTTAGTCTACATTGATCCACACTACACCGTCCCTGACCTTGCCTCGATCATCCCCGAACTCTCTAATATTTCAAAAACCCTTATTCCTTCAACCCTGGTTTCGGGTGATGCGCCAATTTTGACTGCGGAAGAAGGTCTTGGCCACAGGAAATTACTTTTCGAGAAGAAGTCGCAGTACAATGGGAAGGTGCTTGTCGAAGAAATTGAAAACGACGACAAGACCGCGACACGGCGACTCAAATTTGACGGGTTCCGAACAGTCGTGCAATCGGAGGCTGTCGTTGAAAACGGGAAGTTGGATGTCGAGAAGTCTATTCAAGCGTCGCCCTACCAGGACGCGATAAGGAGAGGGCTTGTGTTCTTCTGGAGGTCACAGAGTGACTTGCCTTTCCGAATTGTCATTATCGGAGCCGGTGGGTGTACGTTAACTTTAGGTATTAAGAAAGTGCTTCCGGAGTCGCGTATAGTCTCTGTTGATATTGACGAAGTTGTCGTTGAGGCTGCGGAAAAGTACTTCTTTGCGGAACACGAAGAAACGACGAAGGTCATTACGATGAATGGCATTGAGTACTTAAAAACCCTTGCGAACAAAGCCACGGAGTCTGCGTTACAGAACGCGGTGCACGCAGTCATCATTGACGTTGATAATAAGCCAAAAAGTGACGAGGAGTTGACCGGACCACCTCCACCTTTTGTCCAACAGAATTGTATTGTTGATATGATCAAATCACTTTTTGTCGCAAACATGAATTCTATCACACCACCACTTGTCATTTTTAATATTGTTACTCGTAACGACATGTTGAGAAGAGAAACAGTGACTAAACTTGCAGCATACTTCAAACAAGTGTATATCTGGCAAGGTGGTAACGATATCAATTGCATTGTCTTCGGGTTCCCTAATGAAGTGCAAAGTTATAACATCGAAAAGGACTTTAAGGATAATAAAGGATTTGAAGATTTCTTGGATGGATTAACTAGGTTCAAGTGATTGTTTGGTTTTTGCTTGTTTTTTGTTATATTTTCATTGGTTTTTACAGTTAGAAATGGCTTTTTATATTGTGGAAAAAGGAATAAAAGCAGTGTTCATTGATTTGATTGAAATAACATTTCAATTCAATAATTTCAAAATTGTATGATGGAAAAATCGAGTTTTTATAGAATTTAAGTATTTAACTAATAAAAAAGTTGGAGTTAATATTTTTAAGTTCTTTTGAAATGTGAAAAGGACTTTCTATTTAAATATTATTATTAGTTTTTTATAGTATGATAATATATTTTTTTTTAATATGTTTTTATTGATATTTATATAATATAAATATAGTATTAAATTATTATTTGAATGTTCATTTCCATGTTTATTGAATTGAAAAAAAGTTGATTTTAACTTCAACTTTAAGTGTAACTATTCAAAAAAAATAATAAAACTGCAATATTTTTTCTTATAATAAACTTCCCAATTATTAGATAAACAGTTCTTTGACACACAATGTTTTATTTGGTAAGGAAAAGAATATATCAAAAAAGAAGACCAAACAAGTATTTTTTTTTCAGTAATTACCAGGTAGAAACTTATTCACTATAACCAAAGAAAGATAAAGCATATGAACATATCGGACTGGTATTAACCCTGTTCATAAATTGGTTTTAGCCATTATCTTCTGAAC